AAGCTTGTTCCAAGTAGGTGCTTTAGACCACGGAGCCATCTCTCCAGCCCACTTCAGGATTTCTTATTGCTAAAATTATCCTGTAGGTTATCTTTCCATGAGAAAATGTATTATTTTTCAGAGGCTGATAAGCTGCTTTCATATACAGCACAATTCACCATAAATTTGTTTTCTATTCTATACAAACATTTTGGATAGATTGAGAATCAGCAGTTTCTCCTTTAAGAAAAACAGAAACCACTGAAACCACGTATACGTCAAGTACTTTGTATATATAACCTCAATCAGTATAACAACTGTATTAAATGGGTATTTTAAAAGTCATAAAAAGTTTTAAAATATTAAATTTGCTTGTTCTAGGTTTATAGCTCGTGAGTGGTTTTCACAGCTATCTTAGCATAAAACCGATCATCGTTATGTTACACTCCAGTCTTAATTTTGAAAAAAAAAAAAAAAAAAAAAAGCCTGAAACAGTAACAGTGCTAGTATCTACTAGCACGTTAGCTGTGGATACACTGACAAGTTTGTATTAAGAAAAGTGTTTATTAGCTGCTTTACACACTGACAAGTTTGTATTAACAAGTGTTTATTTTGAATTGTCCTATGCATGAAATATGAATATATGTACATTCACATCTAAAGTGCAACTTGTTTTAAGAGATTAATAGACTGATCAAAAAACAAAACAATCCATAAGCAATTGAATGATGGAAAAAAAAGTTTCTATATATTTACTGCTTAAAATTATCGAAGCCACATCTCATCCAGATGTCTGTATGAGTCCCCTTGCTATTTATTTTCCTAGTGTGTATTCTTGTCCTCTTTGAATTCATTTACCTCAATACAGCCAGAGTGGTTCTTTAAAAAAAGAATTCCTGCTCACAGGTTCAAGATCCATGGAATTCTTCATATGGAGATTACTCTGAGATTTGGTCTTTACTTTTTTTTTTTTTCAGACTCCTCTGTCATTATCTATGTTTCTGCATCAGTAAAAATGAAGATCATATACAGCCCTATAAGGCTGTCCTTTGAGACAGTTTATGCAAAAAGCCTTCGTCTACTCCCTGGACACATTGGATGGATCCACAGAAGAATTACCATTATTTCAAATTATCTATTCATCCATTTTGAAAGTCCTTGAATAGTTCTATAGAATCTCTTCCTTGCTAATATTAGGGCCTAAGAGTCTAGCTATTAATTATTCCTGTATTTAGTGATATGCTCTATTCTTGGGGAAGCTCAGACACTATCTGTTTCATCCCTCTGTCTAAACTTTCTAAGGAAAAGTATGTACACATACTCTAGATTTCTGACTTAGTGATGCATTCCTTAAGTGACATAGGAAAAAACATTTTGGCCTCTAATAAACTATTATAACTTATGGGATTAAAATAAAAATATACTTATATATGGCTAAATTTACATTTATAAATCCAGCTCTACATTGAAGCTTTAAAATAAAAATTCCTGAGAAAAAATACAAAAGTTCTGATAAGACTTACTTGGTACATACCACATGGGTGATAACATCTCTATGCATGTAACTGCGCTCATACATGGATGCACTAGGGAGATTATCAAGATACACTCTTTCAAACTCTAGAACTGTGGGGAAAAATAAAAGATATATTTAATGCATGAATGAAGTGAACATTATTGTGTACTTTCCTTAGAATTTTCTAATTGCACTTTGTATTTCCTACATTTTAATTTCTCTGAATTCAAAGGTAAGGAAAAAAATTCAGTTTATCATAAAGTTTTATTCAAATAAAGTTTTAACTTTATTTCACAACACTGAATAGCACTGTTATTTAGTCAGTTTTGACAGGTTCCCAGGAAGTATACAGATGCTTAACTGTACCAACTGTGCCAACCAACTGAATGGATCTGGCTTAATATGAAGGTTCCATTAAAATAAATACATAAACACTATTAAAAGTTTCACAAAAATCTTAACAACCACCTTCCTAACATGTAGTTTCCAGTCACTAGCACTAATTTCAAAGAGACCTATGACCAAGATGTCTCAGTTCATTAAGGCACTAATCCTCTTTTAGGTCACTGATGCTGAATTCAAACAAATAAAGACAATAAGCACATTTTTAGAGCTGAGAAAATCATAGAGAATATTTGAGTGTTTCTGATTTATTTTCCCCAGTCATAATACAGCTATAAGAGCTATAAACAGTAAATTAAGGAAATCTTGATTTATTATATGAGCTTTTATATTTACCAAATAATTCAATAATGGCCAATCATGCCTATATAAAGTTGCTAAATTAGGAGAGTTACTTTGGGCTTTTAATGACTGCTACATACCACACTTAAACTTGTTATATGTAGCAAATTACTTTCACCTTCTTAGTAACAGATTCTCCAGTTTTATATGGGCTTACTGTCATCCATTTAAAGATATTCATTCTCATCTTCCCCCTCAGTGACATAATAATACAATATGGATAAAATGTGTTCCGTGACAGAAAGTTTCCTTGAAAACTGTATCCTTTCCCTTCTTTAGTTTTATAACTTGGAACTGGAATATGATTATAATTTTATTACTAAATCAGGATAAGGAAGATTAGGACCATGCCTGAGTAGTAGAAAGCTACAAACAGCTTCGGGAACTCTGATGGCTCCATAGTAATCTTGGATTGGTGACTGTTAGGCTTTTATCCTTAAATGTGTGCTTGTATTTTCTTTATATTAAAATGTATATAAAAAGCCTAATTTCCAAAGTATATATTAAAGGGGATGATTCTCTTTACAGAAAGCTAACATTAAGCACCTGTCCTTTTAGAGAGAAATTTCAATAATTATTTTAAATATTTCTCATGTATTTTTTAATTTCAATTTTTTCTTCAAACTAAATACACTATTGGCAGGCATAAGAAAATAAACATATGATAAAGAGTAAAGATTTTGGTATTTGATAATTTATTTCTCTATCTCAACTATAGTAAGTTTATTTTTTATGTATTTGGTATAGGATCTCACTGCACAACTCGGATACATAGTGATCCTCCTGTTTTCAGCTTCCCCAGCGCTGGGATTACAGGCGTGCACCACACCTGGTCTCCGTGGCCAGCTCAGAATACCTGGGGGCAGTGCTGTCACAGCATGAGGTGGTGGGGATGGAATCCTAGTCCTGTACTTGTGTAAACGGGTGTTTAGTCCCCTGAGCTATCTTGCCATCTCTATGCTAAGTTTATAAGATATTTATTTCCTAAAATTATCAGCATTTCAATAGTTTTTGGATTATTTAACCCACATTAAAAGAGAACATGTAACATATTCAAATACAAAAAATAATTTTAAAAATGTTACAATATTCATTAATGTTCATTAATATACTTAAGGAACACTCGCTTTATGCAGAGTATGGGATCAAGCACTGGAACAAAACAGGCACAATCCTTGCTCCTTATGTTTAGTCATACCAGTGGACAGAAGAAAAAAAAAAATCAGAAAACTATGAGTAAATATTCAATTGCAAATTGTAGCAAGAGGCATGAAGGAAAAAGTTGCTATGAAAACATTTAAAAGGAGGACCAGCCAGTAAAAGAAAATAAATAAACATGTACTATGTTCAAAACAGTTTCCTTCAAAATTAGAATACATAAAATATGAAGGCTTCTTGTAAAGTTAAGTGTGAAAAACACTATCTCAAGAGTTAGGATCAGTGACCCTTGAAACCCGTCAAGATTTCCCAGAGGTGACAGCTAGGTGCTAGAGGTTAAAAAAATGCAAGGAAGGGAGAGAAATTATTCTAGTTGTGTCATAGACACTATGGTATCTCGGGCCAGCATCCATAGAAGAGTACATGCCCCATGCTCAAGAAGTTTGGTATGGCTAAAGTGCAAAATAGGTATAGACATACTGGAGATGTAATGGATATATTTGGAGATGTAATGGATTAGTAAAAAGACTGATCATATAAAAAAAAAAA